AATAATTGGAACCCGACTTTTATGATAAAGAACATGTTCGTAGGAGTGTGTAACTTGGCCATATGTTGGGCATGCATAATTTTTTTGCCTGAATATGTTCCCAGTTTTACACACAAACAATCGAAACTTGGCCACCAATAGCCACATTTGTCGAAATTTTGTAATTGGTTGAATGTGTGTGACAATGGAAACTTAACTTGAAATCAGATACTGGGTTCTCGGAGCAGATTAAAACATTCATTTCAGTAAAACCAAGTGACGGACGACACTTCATTTCCCAATTTACGCACGCGTGCTTAGTTTCAACACGTCGTCGATGAATGCTGAATGCTGTTTACTTATTAGACATATTTGAGTTTAATTGATTACATCAATGCGTGACAACATATTCTCAGTTATCAATTTCACATTGAGCAAAATACATTTCATCTGATCGATATTTAGATGAAAAAAGAAATCCTTAAACATTCTAAACATGTATAAATCATGGTATCTATGACGTAGTCTTAATTGATAACATAACCATGGGTGTGATAAAGTGCATTAGTATACTACAAGGATTACTATAGTTATCGACCTTTAATATATGTCAATCATGCAAATGTTATTTCACCAAATAGATCGAAGAAATAATTCGTTTTTCTTACCTGGACATACATAGTAAATTCCCAACTGACCGGGCGGTGTAGTTAACATGTATTTCCTGACCTACAGTCACTTCTTTAAAAGCATCTTCACAAAAACCGCCCTGACAAATGTCGTAGGCATCTACTATCACCTGCTCCCACAGGGTGTCATCATTCTTTATTCATATACGGATTATAAATCATGCAAATAGTACATACTTTCTGAAATGTTTGTGTCACAATAAATTTAGCAGTTCCACGAAGTAATCTTTATTGGAAAATCATAAACGTCTCTTCATAAAACTGCCCGAAGCTGTTAATTATTTTTTTCAGTGTGTATCAAGTTACACACACGTACATACTTACTACACTACTGGTTCTGCAGGTAACCAACTATTTTGTTTTTTAATGACGTGAAAACAATCAACAATGGGAGCAAAGTGTAATTTATAAAATAGAACTCACATATTCAGATACTCAGCAAAACGAAAAATTGCGTTAGTTAATATATCGTCTGCGTTCTACTTATTTAATGCTCATGACAACCGTCAGGTCTTTATTGGTTGTGTTAAATCAGACGACAAACCTTGTAACGCCCATCAACTACAATGATATTTTTCACCATTAAATATCGACACTTCAATGCAATTTACATCTATATTGCACGAAATTGACACTCTTATCTTATATATATTACTAGAACACACTCCAAAAGCGCAACCCTTTCATAGGAATAGTACTTTCAAAAATCCCTATGTCAATGCAAACTGTATCCAGATCTCCCACAAAATCTAGGGAAACCTTAATAAACAAGCATTGAAATTCGTTCGAAGCATATTCAGATATCGTATAATGATGGAAAAGCCCTTCCAGTATCCCACCTTTTACACTATTCCACTGATGATGCATTGATTGGACATAACTGAACATATTATGTGACTATTTTCCTATTTTTAGCACCATCCTGATTCCTGCTCTAAAATACCAGATAATGGGGACATAGTGAGATTCGAGTATAATGTGAGTATCTTGTTTATATTATGTATTTATAATTGTAGATTAATTTGTACATACTATTTATAGAATATAATTTAATTAATAGCAAGACTAGAATCGTCGTGACTTTCTTGGTATATGTTATCTGTATGCCAATGTATTTTCAAGGCGTCTTATATATATAAATTAACATTATTTAAAAAGTATGTTCAAGTACATGAATCTTCATTTAAATGGGCTCTTTGTGGTATTTATGAAAAACTTGGTATTTTGACAAAACTATATATTCAATTTTTATTTGCAGGCTTCGCTACCCGATGGAACGATCTTCGATGCATCCTATATATGGGGCGAAGAATTTGAATATATCCATGGCAACGAAGAAACTCATCTTTTGGCAGGATGGGTTAAAGGAGTAGAACACATGTGTGCCGGGTATGTTATACAAATCTTTGTATATTGTTGCTATTTATGTTTCGTTAAATTCTTCACTCGTATTTTCTTTGATGTGTTCAACTAAAACTGCAATGGCTTTATCTCTAATACGTCACAAAGGTATTAGTTCAAATCCAGTGAATTTGCACACGTGCACTTTATGTGATTGTTCATTTCCAGAGAACATAGACGAATCTTCATACCACCATTCCTTGGATATGGTCGGAAAGGCTCACCTCCATTGATACCAGCGAATTCCTCTTTGATATTCGATGTTAAACTTACCAACGTGCTGAAAGGTGATATTGATGATAACACCCAATCGCCCCAGCCTCCGTCACCGAACTATGAAGCGCTGCAATTTCTGGCCATTCCATTTGCAGTTATTGTGTTTGTTCTAGTCGCTGTATGTCTTTACTCGTATGAATACAGAGACAGAGGGATTAAATGGTATCGAGTTGGACAGGCCGTTTAAGTAATATCAAGACAAATGCACAGCCTGTACTGCACTTATATGACACTGTTTACTATATATATAATGTTAATATACTACAGAGCTATAACACATAGTATTTAAACTGAACATTCGACGATTTTCAAATTCACACAAGTTAACAGTTTATGTATATTTCTGTGTTTTCGATTCGAACGGTAAAGTTTTATTTGCAATGTGTATACAGAAGGTGTGTTGAAAGTATATTGTAAATTATTGTATTTCATTTGAGATGATTTTTCTGCATTATAACTGCGTTGGACGAAAAGTGGCCATAATGATGATTTACCTTGTATTAGATTAGCATAACATTGTTGCAATGCTAATTTTAAAATGTGAAGCAAACAATACCATATATACAAATTTGATTATACATTTGGTCCTAATCATTCAATATATGGCCTTATATAATTTAACAAATCAAAACCAAGGTAGGCATACCACAATATGATAACCAATTCTTGATATACGAAATGTTTAGTATAATACCACTAACAATCAAAATAACAGGCACATTACGAATATATAAACATGAAACACGAGATTCGAACTCCCAACTCAGAAAATTGCAGACGCGCTTTACACTACGACACAAAATATGATGACCGTTTGTTTAATTGTCATGGCAACGTCATAAATGTAATGTAATGCAGCTCACTTAACATAAATGTATAAACATTATTTTCAAGTTATTTTATATAATGGTATTGATGTAGTTTTGTACTAATTAATAAACACTGACCTTTCCAATGTTATTGGTGTTCACGAAAAACACACTTCACGCAATGCTTTACCAAATCTTAGAATGACTAGCGTATATTGACACATAGTAATATATAGAATATCGTATATAACGAACTAAAATCGTATATTTGGAACAGCAATACACAGGTGGAACAATATTCATATTACATTTACATAATGTCATTTATTTCAATTTAATATTTCTCAAAATAATTGCGCATGCGTTAATTGAACACGATGTATTTCTATTAATACTACAGTATTTGCTAATATTTATTAAAAGTGTTTCTGTGCGTATTACATAAATCGTTTTTGTACGTGAATTTTCCAACTCCACCAACTTTAAATTGCAATATATAAACTCTGTAGCTATAACAAGTGAATAAAACATACATTGTACTCTTACAATGACATTGTATTGTTGTATGTGCTATTGCGTCATCTCTACATATTGTGATATTTATTTAGTCACATTTAAACTCGATATTGTACTCAGTGAAAACTACACGACTACGAGTATAGGAATAATACATATCAAATTACACATAACATGGTTGACGTAAAACATTAATAAAATATATACGATAATATAAAAAGAAATGAAAATATAATTTATAAACAAGAAATAAGATAGTGTAGTACCTAGAGGTAATTCGAAGGACAAACTTTAGACGTTAGTGTGTCCATGTTCCAATAGGTGTTCTGTTTTGGGCTTCCTACATCAAGCAATTGGATCGGGAAGATATATAAATATAAGGCTATTGCGAAGAAGCCGCAAAGTGAGTAATCAGATAGTATCCCGTCGAACGGACATCCGCTATACGTCAGTCGATACTTCCGTACTGTCTTCGTGAATACTTTGTGGTTTCTTCGTGATATTAAACTCATATTACACGCGTTTATTTTCTGGTGGGTTTAACGTACCAACTCTCAACATGATACAAATTCAAAACTGATGTGACGTATTATTGGATACAACGTGGCAAGTCTGTATTGGACGCGTGTTAAAAATGAAACTCACATGATGTTGTCGCATTATTCTGGCGTTGTGCTATTGTGTATGCCCAGGCAACAATGTTCACATTACTGCTGTTTTAATAACGTGTACTGTAGCCATAACATTAATATCACACACAATGGTTTGAAATCGAATTGCGTGTTCTTTCAGTGACCATGTAACTAATGTGTTTCGTACTTTTCACACCCCAGGGATATTAATAGGTTACATAAACATGAATTGTCAGAGTCGATGCATTACACAATCAATAACTTGAAATGAATATAAGACATAAATAATATTAAAGCATATCTATAAAACTGGTAATTAGAGCGCCAACATGTGCGCGCGAAATGAATGATTTATAGAAAGGATAACATTGTATAGTTATACAGATACTCATCTGGCAGTATTATAGTATGTACTAATTCGAAAAAAGGCAAAAATAGCGGTAGCTATAGCATTCGTTGTCAAGCAATGGAAAATTACAAACAATAACACATACTGTGAAACACATTCTTCAAAAATGGATAATCAATAATTAAACAAAACAAAAAAGACAATCGAATATTAGTACTCAGACAATCAATATTCATATATATTGCACCGTCAATCTGCCTTGTTAGGAATAGCTCATATTATGTAATACTTCAAAGAGTTATAATGGATAAGAAACAAGAAATTAAACGAATACGACGCACACGTAAATCCATTACTACTAAGAATGCCTAATATGAGATTCCTTTTAGTGAGATATATATTGGAACACACAAAGCATCTTCGTTGGGAAAACGGTGCCAAACTATGTGAGAATAATTGGCTTCTGTGTCGCGGAGATATTCACAATTTTAAGAGAGCCAGGGAATAAAAGTGTTATTTGATAACATTTGTATAATGGCAAAGTTAGAGAAATGCGATTAAATTGCACTGTTTTGAAAACAGTAGCCATGATATACACCCAAAAGCGGCATTGTGCATCAGAACATAATCCCGTCAATTTATTTGATGTTTGTATAGTATTCCGCCAGATACCTTCACTCATGCCCCTAAAATGCTTCATAATGGATATCATCTGGAAACCGTCAAACTAAAAGTTTGCGAAAGCTATGACATACATCTACTATCTTGTATTTTTACATCTATGAAACTATGTGTGACTTTTATGATTTAATCAATGTATGCTTTCATCGATTTTACATGAACGCAGATAAGACAGATAAGATATAAAAGATCTATGTCGCTCGTTTCTCACAGGGAAATGTATTGCAGTTCGTACAAAACATGCCGGCATGTAATCTACTTGGTTATTATTTGCAAAACCAATTCAATAATCTAATGTAAGTCAGATACATACTTCTAGGAAATATTATTAATTTCACACGTGAGCGATTTCATTTATAATGTTAGTTGACATTATTAAAATTACGAGGAATATCGAACATTACTTCATGAAGGAAGTTTTTCGTTTGTTTGTTTATTTAGCTCAAGAAGACAATAATTTGTGAAATGTTTGCATCAAATGCAAGCATAAAAGTCAATGTTATAAAAAGTGTGGAACCGAGAAATCTATAGCCAGATATGGTGGTTGGAAAACTAGCCGAAGCATCTCGAATTCCATGTGAAGTATTTGACGCAAAGTCTCGTACAGTGTAATCAAAATCGTCCTAAATTTCTTCTAGTATTTGTTATGACAACCGTATCCCCAAAGTGTGTGTGATTTACTGTAAAACTGTAAAACATTTTTTTTGACGCAGCTTGTCGGGAAACTTCTGTGATTTCGATTTTCCCGGAATATGAAGGGTAACAATTCGACTTGTGCATCACTATTTAGGCCGTGTTTATTGCACGTTTATTACATTTTCTGCTATCTTTTTGTAATGGTAAAAAAGGCTAACAATACGTAAAGTGGTTCCGAAACGTGTCTGTAATTTATATTAAATTAAAACGTGTAAGGTCACTGTATTTGCTAGCAGCCCGCGTACTTAAATATCAGTTTTATATTTTCGAATTAATTGTGCAGCCGCTAACTCTATGAAAAATAAGTAAAGTTATAAAGATGTTTGATATAAAATAATAACAAACAATTAAAAAACACACATAGAAAACACTATGAATATGCTTTATATATGAGTAGCCTTGGTCAGATTGTTGATAAATTCCATGTTCTCCCCATAATTCTGAATATCTGTGAAATAAGTGTTCGACAAAAACACTCAAATGTATCTCTGATACATAAATATGAAAAATACATTGTTTGTTTATGTGGTAACAGTGATTTGGATACATCGTAACTGATTTGGGTACATCGTAACTGATTTGGGTACATCGTAACTGATTTGGGTACATCGTAACTGATTTGGGACACGTGTAAACATTGATGTTGGGTACGCTGTAAGCGTGATTTAGGGTAAGTGGTAGCAGTGATTCCAGAAATCGTTCCAGAAATATTCGCCATTGCTTATACAACTGATTAGAATTGAAGACTAATCAGGCAGTAACTGTCCAATGTTTCTTTATTCTCAGAGCACCCTATGCTCCCGACAATAAACGTCGATTTATTAGTAGAAATCTATTAATTCCGATATGCTACATTAATTTTCAAGCTGCGTCTGGCGATAAAGATATTTGATTTACAATACTTGTGTCTAAACGTAATATATTAAGAAGAATCGTAATATTATCGATCCCTTATGTCTAGTATTCAATATATCATACTCAGATAACAAGTCAGACTAAAATCATTGTTACCACGAACCCTCATCATTATCCAAATCACTATTACCACATACCCAAATAACTTTTACTACATACCCAAGTTTTAGCTACCACGAACATAAATCACTGTTACCACGTACCTAAATTACTTACCACATATACAAAATCACTGTTTCCACGTATCCAAAATCACTGTTACCACGTACTCAAATCAGTTACGATGTACCGAAATAACTGTTACCGAATACCCGAATCATTGTTACCATGTACTCAAATCAGTTACGATGTACCTAAATAACTGTTGCCGAATACCCAAATCATTGTTACCACGTACTCAAATCACTGTTACCACGTACCCAAATCAGTTACGATGTACCTAAATAACTGTTACCAAATACCCAAATCATTGTTACCATGTACTCAAATCACTGTTACCACATACCCAAAACACAGTTACAGAATACCCAAATTATTGTTACATTTACATATGATGTAACCAAATCACTGCTACCACGTAACCAAAATCACTGTCACAGCGTACCCAAAATCAATGTTACCACTTACCCAAATCACTGTTACCGCGTACTCAAATCTTGGC